ATATTCAATAGTATAGTAAGGAGACTATAGTTAACAAAAATTTATTATATATTTCACAATAACTGGAAGAGAATTGGAATGTTCCCCACACAAAGAAGAGATACATGTTTGAGGCGAAGGATATTCCAATTACAGTGATTTGATCATTATGTTGTATGCGGGTATCAGAATATCATATGTCCCCCCAAAATATGTATAACCATTAAACAGTAATAAAAAAGCTCATCTGAAGAATTAAAAAGGATGAGAAAAAAGTATAAATGTTGTGATTTTTTTCTGGATCATTGTGCACATGCTCTTGGGTAGGTGCACCCCACTTTGGAGATCACTGTCTAGACAATAAAATCAAAATTCTTTGGTATAGATCACAAAGCCTTTACAAACTGGCCCCAGCTTACATTTCCAGTCCCATCTTCCACCACTGCTGCCACGCTCTGTGCTGCACTTTGTTCTGTTCATTGAATTTCATACATATCATGTTTTCCTTGTGTTGTTTCCTCCACCCGTTTGCTTCTTTTATGTATGGTAGGTTCTTATTTGTCCTTTCAGGCTAAAAGATCACCTTTTATTTAATGATTCCTTGATAATCTCTCCCTTACTCTGTGCTCCTCTGTATGTTGTACACACCTTTGTTATAGCATACTGTGTTAAAAGTTATCTGGCCAGGCGCGGTGGCTCAAGCCTGTAATCCCAGCACTTTGGGAGGCCGAGGCTGGTGGATCACGAGGTCAACAGATCGAGACCATCCTGGTCAACATGGTGAAACCCTGTCTCTACTAAAAATAACAAAAAAATTAGCTGGGCATGGTGGCGCGTGCCTGTAATCCCAGCTACTCAGGAGGCTGAGGCAGGAGAATTGCCTGAACCCAGGAGGCAGAGGTTGCGGTGAGCCAAGATCGCGCCATTGCACTCCAGCCTGGGTAACGAGCGAAACTCCATCTCAAAAAAAAAAAAGTTATCTAAGGCAGTTGAATAGTATATGACTCATTCCTTGAGAGCAGAAACCTTGACTGACTTATTTTTCATTTCCTGCTTTAAGCAGAGACAATGAATATTTATGGAACCCCGTACTATCTGTAAGACACTGTCCTGGTTGCTATGGGGGTATACACTATCAGTGGAGCAGATAGATAGATATACAGGATAGCAATATATATCAATGGAGCAGATAGATATACAAGATGTACAAACATAATTTCTGCTTTCAAGGAGCTTATAAGTGAAAGGCACCTTGAAGGAAATATTCTTGAAACTGTGCAAGGAAAAAGATAAAGTATTTTCCTAACAGTTATGGAAGTCAGAGGACATATTTTTGTATCTATTTTTTATTAAGCAAGTAGTATATGATTTTTTTTTTTTTTAGACGGAGTCTCTGTCACCAAGGCTAGAGAACAATGGTGCCATCTCTGCTCATTATAACCTCTGCCTCCTGGGTTCAAGTGATTCACCTGCCTTAGCTTCCCGAGTAGCTGGGATTACAGATGCGTGCCACCATGCCTGATTATTATTATTTTTTTAACGTAGATACAAGATTTCACCATGTTAGTCAGGCTGGTCTCAAACTCCTGACGTCATGATCCACCCATCTTGGCTTTCCTAAGTGCTGGGATTATAGGTATGAGCCACCACGCCCAGCCTGGTGTATGATTAATATATTCCAGAAGAAATTTTTAGCAAAGGGTTTCAATAATGGAGTCTGGACATACTTTCCCATACCCTGTTTCCTCTAGGCAGCTGTACTGTCAGATGTCCTCAGATACTGTTCAAAATATAATCAAAATAGGAGAGGCACATGTGCATAGCTTTCTGTTTCTCTTACGGCATGCACTCACTGTATTCATAGCAGAATTTGGATTTCCTCAGTGCTTTTTGACTTAATAATTGGGTACTTCTTGTGGCGTACTCACAGAGGTATGAACATTATTATAACCATTTCAAAGAGGAAAACTAAGAGATGGCAACCGAATGAAGTGATTTGTCGACAGCCACTGTTGCCATTCAGGTTTATTGCCTTTCATAATATTCAAATATTAGGTGATGCTTCTTCATAACTGTCTTAATTTTGTACATGTTGTATGTTATTTTTTGCACCTTAAATCTTGAAGAACAATTTCACTTAGTCTTGGAAATCATTCAAATGATAAGTATATAATGTGTGGTCAATTGCTGAATACAAATTATATGGCATTTTCTTTGTCAATTTCAGTTACTTTAGGGGAGCTGAAAACACAGCCACTGTAAAAAATATATATATATATATACACACACATACACATTAGTAATGTTACCTCTGTGAACAGCTTGGAAGAGAGCAATCTTTAAAATTTAAACACATTGAAAAATTAAAAAAGATTTGTCACAGTTTTATCTCTGACTCCAGAGAATTTAAAATAAATCAAATTTTGCAGATATTGTAAAATATTAATGGAGCAGATAGAAAATCAGCTGGTAGAATCACACAAGAAATACAAGAAATGGAACGACCTTTTGACATGAGCTAAAAGTGCATGTAAAGCAACTAAAAATTGCAAGGCTCACACAGATGAAAAGATTAAGGTTCAAATCTATTTTTCTAAGTAATATGTGAAGCCAAACAGGGCTGTTGAGTCAGCTTTTCCTGTTAATCCTTTTTGGTCCAAAATCTTTTCATACATCATATATTTGTATTTTCTGACCAAGAAACTATATAGGGGCTCAGAAACTAATTGCTGTTGTTTTATAATAGGGAAGAAAACTCAAAATCAATGGAATTTTTAAAACCTGCTGTATTTAAGTATAACTGATATATGAAAATTGCACATATTTAATGTGTATAATTTGATGAGTCTAGACATATACCCACACCTCTGAAACCATCATCACAATTGAGGTAGTAGACACCTTCAGAAGTTTCCCTGTGCCTCTTTGGTTTCTTGTTGTTGTGAGAACACCTAAAATGAGATCTACCCTCTTAACTCTTTAAGTGCACAATACAGTGTTACTAACTATAGGCACTATGTTGTACAGCAGATCTCTAGAACTTATTCACATTGTATAACTGAAGTTTTGTAGATATTAAACAAAGACTCCCTATTTCCTCTCCGTCTAATCCCTGGCAACTTCATTCTATTTTTTGCTTCTATGTGTTTGACTATTTTCAATACTTCATATGAGTGTAATCATGCATTATTTTGAACTTCTGTGTCTGGCTCATTTCACTAAACATAATGTCTTCCAAGTTCCTTTCATATTGTTACAAATGACAGCATTGGCATCTTTTTAAAAGCTGAATAATATTCCATACCCATTCATCTGTAGATGAAAATTTGAATTGTTTCCATGACTTGGCTATTGTGAATAAGGCTGCAATGAATACGAGAGTGCAGATATCGCTTCAAGATACTGATTTCAATTCTTTTGGATATACACCCAGAAATGGGAATGCTGCATCATATGGTATTTCCATTTTTAATTTTGTGAGGAGCCTCCATACTGTTTTCCATAGTGGTGCATGATTTTACATTCCTATCCTAAGCAAGGATCCCCTTTTCTCCACATTCCTGCCAACACTTGTTATCTTTTGTTTTTGATAATAGCCACCCCCAACACATGTCAGATCATATCTCGTTGTGGTTTTGATTTGCCTTTTTCTGATGATTAGTGATGTTGAGCATGTTTTCAAATATCTGTTGGCCATTTATATGTCTTCTTTTGAGAAATGTCTATTCAAGTCCTTTGCCCATTTTTTAGTAGGATTTTTTTTTTTTGCTACTTACATATTTTTGGTATTAGCCTTTTATCAAATGTATAGTTTGCAAACATTTTTTCCCATTTGATAGGCTGTCCTTTCTCCCTGTTGTTCCCTTCGCTGTGTAGAAGCTTTTTAGTTTGACGTAGTCCTACTTGCCTAGTTTTGCTTTTGGCTTTTGTTGTCTGTGCATTTGGTGTCATATCCAAGAAGTCATTGCCAAGACTCTGTATTTCTATGTTTTTTTTCTAGGAGTTTTACAGTCCCGTTTTTTTTTTAGTATACTGCCCTAAGGATAAGGGGTGGGTGGTTTATGGCAGTCTGATGATTCTGCAAGATTGCGAGAATTTCACAACCCTGAAATTACTCCTTCAGGAGAAGAGAGGAATGAATGTGCACATCTGTAAGAAAGGATTTATTTATTTCTTTGTTTATTTATTTATTTATTTAGAGACAGGGTTTCACCTTGTTGATCAGGCTGGTTTCGAACTCCTGACCTCAGGTGATCCACCTGACTCAGCCTCCCAAGGTGCTGAGATTACAGGTGTGAGCCACCTCACCCAGCTGTTGGTTTATTCTTTAAGGACTGATTATCACTCAGGAGAAAGGAAACGTTTGAGAGGCTCCTGGAATCTCTAGCCTGGTCTATTGGTTAAGGTCTTTTCTGCTGAAGCCAGTCCATAAGTCAATGGATTTTGACATTTCGTGTTAAAACATCATCACAACCTACCAATTAACACAATTATAACTCTTTTTCTAATAAATATATTCTTTGAGTTTTACACATATTCAATCATGTTTAAGATGACACAGTAGAGTTTATGAGATATAGAGAAGCTGTGATTACTTATTTTGAAAGGAAGTAGCTGGATTTTCATTTTTTAGGTGTTCTTTCTTTTTTTCCTCCCAGATGGAGTCTTGCTCTGTCACCCAGACTGTAGTGCAGTTGCATGATCTCAGCTCACTGCAACTTCCACTGCTTGCGTTCAAGCAATTCTCCTGCCTCAGCCTCTCCAGTAGCTAGGATTACAGGCACACACCACCATGCCCAGCCAATTTTTGTATTTTTAGTAGAGATAGGGTTTCACCATGTTGGTCAGGATGGTCTCAAACTCCTGACCTCGTGATATGCTCGCCTTGACCTCCCAAAGTGCTGGGATTATAGGCGTGACCCACCGTGCCCGGCCAGATGTTCTTTAATAGGGCACGTTTATACTGGTTTTTCCATTCAGTAATTTAAATAAAAAGAGAAATGTACTCATGTGTAGTTTATCTTTTTGTAAATAAGAAGATTTAATACTTCACAGGCAAGTAACTAGAGTAGAGTAATAGTTTATCTTTTTAATTGAATTCCTCATGAATAAAAATTGTAACCTTGTAAGTCCATAGTTATAATGCTAATAAATCAGAATAGTTAAGTTTAATCCTGTCTATTAAAAAAAATTCCATCAGAATTGGTTCTATCAGTTGGTGAAATGACTCCAATCCATATCAATAGGCCTCTTTGTGGAATAAACAAACACAAAGACCCCAAAGAACAAATAGCCAGCAACAGAAAACCAAAACCTAATCTACAGAATGTGATTGATTGATTGATCTACTCCCTAAACCCAAAATAAAAGCCAACAGCAATAAGTAGATAATTAAGCATGCTGTGTAGTGACATCCTTGCATATAAAGGAAGGCACAAGGCTGAGGTTGAGAGAATTCCCTGAGACCAGACTTCAGTGCTGCAGTGAGCCATGACCTGCCAGCCTGGGCGACACAGTGAGACGTGGTGTCTAAAAATAAAAAATAACAATAAAAGGAAACACTTCAACTAGGTCTCAGTTTTAACTTTTAAGATGTATTAAATAATGAGATGTGTGAAGGAGAGGGAGTTAAGAATTAGTCGTTAAGACAGTTCTAGGGCAAAAGTTCCAAAAGTATTTTAAGGTAGAACAATTGAGAAAAGGTATTTACTCTGTTAAATTTGCATTCTCTTTTACAGTGATTTGTGTTTATTTGAAAAAATTCAATAGCTCTATTGTTTTATCATTACACGATTGTCTCTCATGTAGCCAAGTAGCCAGCTTAGCCACTGTGATGTCAAGAGAGGCAGACCCTGTATAATACTTTTCATGGGGAAGAACTTCAGTGAGTTAATCAGGAAATAATAATGCCTTTTATGAAGACAACAGGGTTGTTTTTTGTTTTTCCTAGAAAAAAATAATGGGTGGACTGTGGGGAGGACTTTTACCTAAAGGAGGAGAGATGATCATAGTAAAGCCAGAAACTGTTATTGATATTGTTTGGCTCTGTGTCCCCATCCAAATCTCATCTTGTAGCTCCCATAATTCCCATGTGTTTTGGGAGGGACCTGGTGGGAGATAACTGAATCATGGGGGTGGATCTTTCCCATGCTGTTCTCATGATAGTGAATAAGTCTCATGAGACCTGATGATGGTTTTAAAAATGGGAGTTTTTCTTCACAAGCTCTATTCTCTTGTCTGCTGCCATATGAGATGTGCCTTTCACCTTCTGCCATGATTGTGAGCCTCCCCAGCCACGTGGAACTGTAAGTCTAATAAATCTCTTTCTTTTGTACTGCCCAGTCTTGGGTATGTCTTTATTAGCAGTGTGAAAATGGACTACTACAGTTATTAACTTTTTAATAATTTTGTGCCACTAGTGCTTGCAAGCTAACACTCAACATGGTAAGAATATACCTGTCACTGCTTTGGTCCAATGTAATGAGAAGCAAAAGAAAATGAATACTCAGTGACTGGTATGTGTCAGACACCACAGTAAGCAGTTACACGTATTATTTAACTCTCTAGCATCCAGTGTTTGGTATCTTAAGCTTTTTTTTTTTGAGACTAATCTTGCTTTCACGTCTTGTCACCCAGGGTAGAGTTCAGTGGCACAATCTCCGCTCACTGCAACCTCCACCTCCCGGGTTCAAGTGATTCTCCTGCCTCAGCCTCCTGAGTAGCTGGGATTAGAGGCATGCACCAACACGGGTGGCTAATTTTTGTATTTTTACCAGAGATGGGATTTCTCTATGTTGGTCAGGCTGGACTTGAACTCCTGATCTTGTAATCTGCCCTCCTTGGCCTCCCAAAATACTGGAATTACAGACATGAGCTACCACGCCTGGCCTAAAAAAGAAAAAAAAATGTTTAACTGAGATAGAGATGAGGTCTTGCTATGTTGCCTAGGGTTTTGTCAAACTCCTGGGCTCAAGAGATCTGCCAGCCTCAGCCTCCAAAAGAGCTGAAATTACAGGTGTAAGCCACTGTGCCTACCCGTGTTTGGTATCTTTTTTTTGAGATGGAGTTTCACTCTTGTTACCCAGGCTGGAGTGTAGTGGCGTGATCTCAGCTCACCACAACCTCTGCCTCCTGGGTTCAAGCAATTCTCCTGCCTCAGCCTCCCGAGTAGCTGGGACTACAGGCATGTGCCACCATGCCCAGCTAATTTTTGTATTTTCAGTAGAGACGGGGTTTCACCATGTTGACCAGGATGGCCTCGATCTCTTGACTTCATGATCCACCCGCCTCGGCCTCCCAAAGTGCTGGGATTACAGTTGGTATCTTTATTTTTATTATATATAGCTGAGAAAACCTGACATCAGAGAGAGTAACTGGCTTAAGCACAGGGGTTAGAATGTGTGTCAGGCTTACTCCAAATCCCATGTTCTTTCCATGCTGAGTTCCAGTAGATCATTTATGTATTCCTCATGCACAGGGAGGTACAAGATGGTAGAATGGGAGATGGAACAAATTTGGCAAAATAATCCATATCAGTTTATTATCCTATTCCTTGTGTAGAGTTGAAATTTTTCATAATGAAAAGGTTCTTTAAGGCATATACTGTTTTTAAAGGATTGTGCTGATCTGTTTCCCCATTACAATAGGGTGTAAGAAATGGAATTAGAATTTTGTCTAGGTTTCACCACTTGTTGCACAACAGTGAAGAGGGACAGGGTGGGGATGACTGGATTTCAACTAAGTAATAATTGAAATTCTTTTTGAAGCCATGTGTTGTATTGGCAATCAAATCCAAAAGTAGGGTAATTTCCTTAAAACTGTATCATAGCGTTCAATTTATAGATTCCCATGCCTAAGTAATCAGAAATAAACCACTGAAAAACAATGATTCTGAGACAGAACTGAAGCCATCATTGAAAGTCCCTTCTAGCCTGGGCAACACGGTGAAACCCTGTCTCTACTAAAAACACAAAAAAATTAGCCAGGTGTGGTGGTGCACACCTATAGTCCCAGCTACTCGTGAGACTGAGGTGGGATGATGATTTGAGCCCTAGAAGCAGTAGTTGTGTGAGTCCAGATCATGCCACTGCATTCCAGCCTGGATGGAAAAAAAGGAAGTCCATCCCTTTCTAAGCTTTATAAAGGCATGATAATATTAATTTCCTTAAACAAACATCATAACATTTAATTTACTAATTCCTGTGCCTAAATAATCAAAACATGTCAACAAAATGAAGCACTCACTCTAAGGCATAATTGAAACTCTCAGAAACAATGTCATCTGACTAAGCTTTCCCAGAATAGTTGGAAACATACACTATGTAGTTCTTTCAGATTGGCTTCTTTCACTTAGCAATAAGCATTTAAGGTTGTTATATATTGTTTCATTGTTTGATAGTCATTTCTTTATTTTCTTTTTCTTTAATTTTATTTTTGTTTTGCCATGGAGTCTCACTCTGTCAACCAGGCTGGAGTGCAGTGGCACCATCTTGGCTCACTGCAACCTTTGCCTCCTGGGTTCAAGCTATTGTCCTGCTTCAGCCTTCCTAGTAGCTGGGATTACAAGTGTATGCCACCATGCCTGGCTAATTTTTGTATTTTTAGTAGATGTGGGGCTTTACCATGTTGGCCAGTCTGGTCTCAAACTCCTGACCTCATGATCTGTCCTTCCTGGCCTCCCAAAGTGCTGGGATTACAAGTGTTAGTCACCACTCCCCACCTGGGGTGACAGTTTTTGTATAATTTGATTTTATACAATTATATAACTAATGGGATTTTAAAAAAGTCTGGGCAATGCAGAGTTAAAGCTAATCACGGTCTACTTAATAGTGCTTATTTCCTTTTCCTTTTTTTTTTTTTTTTGAGATGGAGTCTCCCTCAGTCACCCAGGCTGGAGTGCAATGGCCGGATCTTGGCTAACTGCAACCTCTTCTCTTCCTCCCGGGTTCAAACAGTTCTCTGCCTCAGCCTCCTGAATAGCTGGGATTACAGGCGTGTGCCACCACTCCTGGCTAATTTTTGTATTTTTAGTAGAGATGGGGTTTCACCATGTTGGCCAGGCTGGTCTTGCCTGATTTTGTGATCCACTCACCTCGGCCTCCCAAAGTGCTGGGATTACGGGCATGAGCCATCATGCCTGACCTCTTTTTTTTTTTTTTTTTTTTTTAGATAGAGTCTCTTTCTGTGTCCTATGCTAGAGTGCAATGGTGCGATCTTGGCGCACTGCAACCTCCACCTCCTGAGTTCAAGCAGTTCTCCTGTTCCCAGACTATTTCTAGAACTTTTATTATTTATTTTGAGACAGAGTCTCCCTCTGGAGACACACCTGGCTAATGCTTTGTATTTTTTGTGTAGCCAGGTTTTTGCATGTTGCGCAGGCTGGTCTTGAACTCCTGGGCTCAAGGGATCTGTCCGCCTCAGTCTCCCAAAGTGCTGGGATTTTAGGTGTGAGCCATTGTGCCCAGCCCTATGGAAACTAATTTGGAATAAGTAACCTAATCCTAGTTTCAGGTACTGGAAAATCTGTTCTCCAGTAAGTATAAGTGAAAGGTATTTTTAGGATGGATGGCATTTGTCTTAAGGTTGAGCTTGGCACTGAGTTGAGGCTATTTTCCTGTTTCATTGAGGAAAATTGCAATTCTTTTGTCCACAATGAAGTCTACAATGAGGAATATAAGATTATTTATGAGCAGGGTAGCAATCCTAAAATTCCTGTGGTCTCATTTTGTGTCTTTCCTAGTACTCTTTATAGCTCAGCTGTCCATCTAACAGTGGTGTAAGCTGAGGTTATCGATGGTTCATTTCACTAATATTTAAGTACATGATATTAAACAGTTATCTCAGGTAGATTCTTAAATTATACAACAGGTATAAGAATTAGATTTTTTTGGCCAGGCACAGTGGCTCACACCTGTAATCCCAGCACTTTGGGAGGCAAAGGTGGGTGTATTACATGAGAGTTTGAGGCCATCCTGGCCAACATGGTGAAACCCCCATCTCTACTAAAAATACAAAAGATTAGCCAGGTGTGGTGGTGTGGGCCTGTCATCCCAGTAACTCTGGAGGCTGAGGCAGGAGAATAGCTTGACCCCAGGATGTGGAGGCTGCTGTGAACCGAGATTGTGCCATGGCACTCCAGACTGGGTGACAGAGTGAGGCTCCCTCTTAAGTAAATAAATAAATAAAACAAAAATTATCCAGGCATGGTGGTGCTCACCTGTAATTCCAGCTACTTGGGAGGCTGAGGCAGAAGAATTGCTTGAACCAGGGAGGTGGAGGTGGAAGTTGCAGTGAGCTGAGATTGCGCCACTGCACTCCAGCCTGAGTGACAAAGCGAGACTCAAATACAAATAAACAAACAAAATAATAATTATTTTTTAAATTAAATTTTTTTTTAACAATCAGGAGCATTTTTTTAAATAGTCTTATCAGTAACGGTATTACCATTGTCACCCTGTGCTCTGGTCTGAATGTTTATGTCCCTCCACTCACTCCCCCAAATTCGTATGTTGAAACCTAATCACCAATGTGATGGTATTAGGAGGTGGAGCCTTTGGGAGGTGATTAGGTCATGAGAGCACAGTCCTCATCTATGGGATCAGTGCCCTCATAAAAGAGGCCCTAAGAGAGCTGCCTTGCCCCTCCTACCATGTGAGATACAGCAAGGAAGTATTATCTATGAACTAGGAAAAGGGTCCTTAACAGACACTGAATCCACCAGCACCTTGATCTTGGACCTCCCAGCCTCCAGAACTGTAAGAAATAAATTTCTGTGTTTATGTCTATTTTTTTATAGCAGCCCGAATGGACTAAGACACACTGTTACAGATTTTTTTTTTTTTTTTGAGATGGAATCTCATTCTGTCGCCCAGGCTGGAGTGCAGTGGTGTGATCTTGGCTCACTACAACCTCAGTCTTCTGGGCTCAAGTGATTCTCCTGTCTCAGCCTCCTAAGGAGCTGGGATTACAGAGATGCATCACCTCACCCAGGTAATTTTTGTATTTTTTATAGAGACAGGGTTTCACCATGTTGGCCAGGCTGGTCTCTACTTCTGACCTCAAATGATCTGTCTGCCTCAGTGTCCCAAAGTGCTGGGATTACAAGCTACAGGTATGAACCACCGCGCCTGGCCAGAAATATCTTTATTTATATATATATATATATATATATATATATATATATATATATATATATATATACACATTTTAAAATTTAAATATATGGAGATGGGGTCTCTGTATGTTGTTGACCATATGTTGACCAGGCTGGTCTTGAGTTCCTGGCCTCAAGCGATCCTCCCATCTC